TGAGCCGCCAGGTCCGCCGCGGTCCAGGAGCGCAGGTCTTTGTTCAGGGTGAGGTAATCCGCGCCGTCGTAGGCGTACTCAGTGAACCCTTGGACTAGGCGCCCGTCTGTCCCCACCTCGCAGCCATAGGTGCTCTGGTAGGTGTGAGAGCCTGTCCCCGCCCCGCGGTCAGCCGCGGCCCCGCCCCGCCAAGCCCCGCCCATCCCGCGTGTTTTTCCATAAACCGAAAATGAAACCCGGACCCAGTCCCCGCTGGCGCCCTCTGGGTCGAGGGTCTCCAGTCCCTAGGCCTTGGGGTGAAGCTCGGCCTGGGATCCCTGACGACCATCGTGAGGGACGTGAGGGGTCGCGACTTCCGACTGAAGCCCGGGTCACTCACCGCCCGCGCTCTGGTTGTAGTAGCCGCGCAGGTTGTTCAAGCCCACTCGGTAATACTGTGCGTTGCCCTTGGCAATCCGTGTCTCCCGTTCCCAATACTCCGGCCCCTCCTGCTCTATCCATCGCACCTGCGGCTCCATCCTCGGTGTGGCGGCGTCGCTGTCGAAGCGCACGAACTGCGTGTCGTCCACGTAGCCCACGGAGATGAAGCGGGGCTCCCCGCGGCCGGGCGCGGACATGGCGGTGCGGAAATACATCAGGGAGTGGGAGCCTGGGGGCGGGAGCCGCTGAGACCCCGCGACCCCTCCTCCTGGCGCCTCAGCCCCGGGTTGACGACGCCAGGAGGAGAAGAGAGGCCTCAAGAGACCCTAAGGGTAACGGGGGACGCGGGAGGAAAGGACATAGGGGCGGGAGTGGAGCGTCAGGAGGAGCCACACCACTCCAGGGAGGGTCTGGGCCACGGGCGGGGAGGCGGGGACGCAGCTTTCTAGGGTCCTGTGTGCTCTGGGGACGTCCCCTCCTTCCTTTGACACAGAGGCTCTTTCTTTCCTGATCCCGCACTCACCCTCTGAGGTCTCCGGCAGGGCCAGGGCCCCTGAGAGCAGYAGGAGCAGCGTTCTGGGTGCCACCACCCGCATCCTGCAGCTCTGTGGAGATTCTGGAACTTGGCAGGTGAGTGGGGACTTTAAAACCCAAACCGCGGTGACCTTGATTGTCTTCTTTAGGAGCAAGACACTCTATGGGAGTGAGTCCTGGGGTGGCACGGGGAGTGTCCAAGAAGAATGGCTGTAAGGAAAATAAAAAGTGACCAAAGCAAAGTGCAAAGGCCAAAGCAACAGCTGCTGGCCTGAGCTGCTAGCTTTATTTATATCCATAGGTTACTTAGGCCATTGATAGTACATACTGTGTTACTAGGCAGGTTACTGACTTAGCAACATTATTCAGCTTATTCATTAGTTACATAATTAGTTGCAATGTGCAATGTTAGGAACTTTGTGTAGCTCTCAAGAAAGTCCACTGTATAAAGTTACTGTTATGTGAGCAGGGTTAGACTCTGTGAAACATCTTGATTGTCTAACAAGGGAGTTCCTTAATTTCCAGGAGCTCTGTGCCTGAGATCAAGGTCTCCAGGCCTCCTAATGGAGGACATTGCTATAGCAGTCACACATTCTGTGTCTTTGCGCAGAAGTTTTCCCAGCAGCCAGGCATTCTGGGTCTTTGCATAGAAACTTCCTAGCCACCAAGCATGTCAGTCATAAAGCTACCTCAATCCCAAACACAGAACCCTTACAAACGACCTGACCCAGGTTGGGAGAAGAAGTGAAACTCCAGGGAGACCAGAAATTCCCGGTTGCTCTGTGTCCACACCCCAGGCAGAGCTCTAGACTCTGAGATCCATGACCAGGGCTGGGACTTTGGCCTGAACACTCCTCTGTAGTAATCATTCTTTGTCTCACTGTCCCTTGATTCCTTGTAAATAAGCAGTTCTCAGACATTTTGGTTTCAGGATCTTTATATGCTCTTAGAAAGTAGCATGCACTCCAGAGGTAATCATGTCTATGTGGATTATGTCTATCAGTATTTGCCCTATTAGAAATTAATTCCATCTTTAAGATATTCATAACTAATTGCATGTTAATAGAAACAGTAGTTTTCAAGAGAAATAACTGTTTTCCAAAATCAAAATATGTAACTGAAAGACTGGATCATTTTACTTTTTACAATTTTAAAAGTCCCTTTCATTTGTCATTAGAGAATGTTAGATATTCTTATGTTCTGCATTTAACCTGTGACTTTGACTGAAATGAGAAAAAAAATTTGCAACCTCAGAGTGATATTTAGGAAGAATGATTTTAATAATGTTTTCAGTAACTGTGKTTATTTGTCTTTGATACTACACTAAATTGACATAAGTGTTAGTTTCTTAAAGGTTCTTTGCCATATAGACCCCAAAACATTAGCATTTAGTAGTTCATATTCTGTTGTATTAAAGACTGTGAGTGTGTCTTGCGTGTTGAATGGATTTTGTGGTAATGCATGATATTTTTTAAAGTCATGCACTGTTTGCCCATGTTATGTAGACCTTCTAGTGTTAACATATTTAAGTGTCAAAAATCAAGAGGTCAATATGTTGATATTTCCACAGATTTCATCAGAAAGTGTTATCGGTACTTGAAATTCTGTCGGGTTGATAATGGTGGATGCAAGTTTTCCCAGAATCTGATATACTCTTTAGAGCATACATTTTATCATTGAAAATATTGCTGTCTGTGGATCCTTGTGAAGGGGCAGATTCAGTTCATTTTTTAGAATGTTGGCCACATACTGAATTCTAAAGAATAGTTTCTGTGTCCTTCATTCTTTTAAGCAGGAATAGTATTTCAGAAAATGGAATGGTGTAACTCATCACATGGCTTTTGTTGATACAAACACCATACTTTCAAATGTAGCAGATGTGCTTTATGTCTACTTTCAATTCTATGACATAAGTGTTTTTATAATGTGAATTCTGGGATGGCAATTTAATAAAGTTAATAATTTTAACACTTCAACTAGGACATATTTAAGTGAATTTGCATGTTTTCCCTTCTGCTGTTATAAGGTGCTCAAGAATACAATAACTACTATTGCTGTTTGGTGTCATAGCTTTCACTTTGCCAAGTTTTACTTTGGTATAAGTAATGTTTTAATGATATTATAAATATATATATATACATCTTTATATATTTAACATATACAAATGATATTAAATATATAATGATATTATATATAATATATATTAAAATATATAATATATATATATATTATACACACACACACACACACACACACACACACACTGGGGATTAACTCAGGGGCACCTGACCACTGAGCCACATTCCCAGCCCTATTGTGTATTTCATTTCGAGACAGGGTCTCACTGAGTTGCTTAGTGCCTAGCTATTACTAAGGCTGGCTTTGAACTCACAATCCTCCTGCCTCAGCCTCTGTGTTAGAATCTTATAGGTATGTGCCACTGCACCTGGCTATAAAAACATTTTTGATCATATGGATCCTGTGAAATAGTTTGAACATCTCCAAGGGTTCCACAGATCACACTGTGAGAACTGCTGCTCTGAGTAAACTGTGGAGAGATCCCAACTGGTCCYAACTTCTTTGCTTGATTCACTGTCACTGTTCTCAGTAATTGTTTAAAACATATTTAAAAAATGGTATTTTTGAACAAGTAATGGAACTTTGCACAATTATGTGCAAAAGAAAACAAAAAGAAGTTCTTAGAAATTAAAAACTAGTCACATAAATGAATAATTCTGTAGATGATTTGGACAATTAAAATAGTATCAGAAAAGAAGTAGTATAATTGCAAAAGTAATGGTAATGAAGACAGAAAAACTATAAGAGCACAAGGATATCAATAAAAGATTTTCAATAACTGAAAAATATGAATTCCAGAATAATTGAAAGTAAGGAATGATTTTAAAATCTCAATGAATATTCTCAGTCTTTTCAGTTCCCCCCCAAATTACATTTGAATTGCCACAAAAATGAATGAAAACAGACTCATGTCAAGATACACTGCAATGAAATTTCAGAAAATACGTATGAGACCCTGAATATTTCAAGAGGCAGGTAAAGCAACTTTTTGAGCTAGAAAATGTTGAAACAATCTTATGTGCATTCTAAGTGAAAATATTTTCAACACAGAATTCTGTACTAAGTTGGACTAAGCGCTAGAGTGTCCTAAAGATATTTTAGATGTTTAAGGTTTCTATATCTTCTGTGCCATGTTCCCATAAGATATGAAAGTGAGAAACAGAAATGATGGCGAAAACCAAGCAAAGGTGATATGTGAAATGTAGTTAATAGGGAGCCATCACAAGAGAGGGAAGCCAAGTGTGTTCCCCCATGAGGTGAAGGAGCACAAGGATATCAATAAAAGATCCAGGGAGTCAGCCTTGCTCCAGTTGTGAAGGCATCCAGGTCTGGCAGGACTGAGGGCTCTAGGACAGGAGTCTTTACAAAGACCAAGTTGGTGGATTCCTGGATGTACTTGAATGTACTCAGGGAGACTGTGTTAGTCTATTTGGCTGCTCTAACAGGATACCACATATTGAGTAAATTAGGAAGAATAGAATTTATTTTCTCACTGTAATTAAAGTTGGAAGACCAAGTTCAAGGCACTGGCATCTGATTAGGGTCCTCTGCTGTTTCCTCATGTGTAAGGGCAAGACAGGCAGAAGGGGCTGATCTGTTTATGATGACTTACCCACCTCTCATTAGGTCCCATCTCCCCACACCACCACATTGAAGATCAAGTATCCAACATGTAAACTTTGGAACATACATTCAAACCATAGCTGAGACCCTAGAAAAGAGTTTGAGAAAGTTTCAGTAATGAGTACAACAGGAACTAAGAAAAAGAAAGGGAAGTTAAAAATCAGTTCAAGGAAACAAAGTGATGAAAGCTACAAGCCTAGATGTAAATGACACTTGCATAATCAGTATAACGTAAACAACATTGATCTAATCAAAATTATAAAATGACTTAAAAGGACAGGGGTATATGAAGCTCTCCACTAAAAGTGCCACTTGAAAAAGTAAGAAGGAACAGTTACTAGTATGGCATTATGTAAAAATGTGTATGTGTAACCGATGTGATTCTGCAATCTGTATTTGGGGTAAAAATGGGAGTTCATAACTCACTTGAAACTAATGTTTGAAATATGATATGTCAAGAGCTTTGTAATGTTTTGAACAACCAATAAAAAAAAAAGAAAAGAAAAAAAGAAAAAGTAAGAAGGAGCCCTATTAGCATTCTATTTAGGGCCACAGACGTAGCAATAAAAGCATCAGGCAAGAGAAGTAAAGATGGCTGCCTCTGGGGATCAGGAAATGGGGCAGCATGGAAGATTGGGGTTATCTGTCTTTATATCCAACCTTGTAGAAATATTTGTCTTTTAAATGCTGTCATGATTCTGCTAGAAAAACAAAAATTCAACTTTTAAAAAGACAACATGAGAGAAAGGACCCAAATGTCACTCTATAAGGTGTATCAGAGTAATGGGGCAGTAATGGGAGAAACACATAGGATCAGATGGTGGATATTTATGGAGGAATTTGTTTTATTTACTGAATTTATTCATGTTTTTTTTTTAACAGGAGATAGCTGTAATATGGTTGATGCAGGAATGAGTGATCTATAGTGAGTGAAAGATGATTGTGCAGGGGAGGGAGGGATCATCTGTGGGAGACCATCTTCACAAGTGACTGAGTTTCCTCCTGGACTGGGTGCTGAGGCGTCCAGTCGCAGAAATGTGGCAGGACTTTCCCCACCCTTCTTGGGTTCGAGAACGTGTCCGTGTAGAGGCATGTCTCACCACTATTCAAAGAACCCAATCACCTCATCTGACCTTGCAACAATGTGCCCCATGTCTTTCATTGGATGGGATTTTCCCCAGAATTTTTAGTTCCCCAATAAAAGCCCACTCCCTAGCGTGCTCCTGCTCTCTCACTAGCCTCTTCAGTGAAACCTGGCTTCCCCCCTGGGGAGCTTGAGGCTGAGAGCTCCAGGAGCCAGCCTGGAGCTGGTTTAAAGGTAAAATTGTGTGTCTGTGTCTTTATTTCAAACTCCCTGAGTATTTTCACRCATGATTGAACCGTTCACCATCTGTGCTGGCCACAGACTAAAGTCACCCT